TTAAATGTAATTTAAATATATTTATATACATGCAGTTCACCATTATGTGCCCAGCAGCTTTTGCAATTATCTTGCAAATCGCTCTTGAAATTACATTGATGTTTCTTGTGAAATTCACGTTGTTTTTACCATTTGACAAAATTAAAACAGGATTTAATTCATACACTGGAAACACAACAGGACTAGGATCAGGAGAGATTTACAAGGACCAGCGAGAGAAGTGGACGAAAGGGTGAGGAACACACTCATGCACCTGGAATGTGTCTTGAAACCCAAAATGTTTGTGCTTATATGATGCATATAAACTAAAGATGTCATGCTTGGGTTGGACTTGAAGCTATGGTGTTTTTCAGTAAGCTTCCACAAACATCATTATCCCTTCATCAAACTTGAGCTCACAGCTTTGGGTGTGGTAGAAGAACCACCCAAACATATAGAAGAACCCGTCTACTTAGGACATTTATCTGTGCTTTAGGTTTACACGTTTGTTGACAAAGTTAAACGATAGTTCACTCAAAAAAGAAACTTCAGTCATCATTTACTGACCTTCATGTTGTTCCAAACCTGTCATGTTTGATCCCTATCAGGATGGGTAAATGATTGCATTTTCATTTTTCAGGTGAATTCTTTTATGAATACTGCATTTACTAACAAATGTGATTGTTCAATTGCAGCGGCCCCGATCAGGAGAACACAATAGGAGGAGCTCCAGAGAGCCTGACATTTAAGGAGCGCCAGAGACTCTTCTCACAGGGAAAGGAAGTGTCGAATAAAGTGAAAGCGTCCCGAAAGCTCATGGAACTGGAGAACGAACTGAACATAAATCAGTAGTGAAGAGCCCTAGTAGGACTAATTGCCAATATGTGAGCCATCCCTGGAGAAAAAACACACAAAACACATCCAGCTGTGGCTTCCCAGTCACTTCCAAATGTTCTTTTTGGGTTTTATTGAATAACTGGACGATTAAGTATCATTTAGCTGCAATAAGAGACGATATTCCTAAATTCTCTCGAAAGATATATTATAATAAAGCACTGTAAATTGTTTTAATTATATTAATAAGAAAACTGAAATGACATGAAGGGGGTATATTTTTGTTTGTGAAATGTTATTCAGAAAATGACATTCTTTGCTCATTTAATTTTTTTTAATAGGCAGTAATGTGGGATATTTTATGGTGTTATTTTATTCTACATCTTTCCACTATTTTTCTTTTGAAAGTAAGTGCCGATATAATAGACCAATGTAAACAGCTCTGAGTACATAACAGTGGCCCGCATTGGTCCTCGAATATTATTGAACAGCTCAATAGTAGCGCGTGAACGAAACTTATATAGGAGGCTCACGGTTTTTTTGTGACACTGTTTATTATTTGTATTTTTCCACCTGGTTCTTCCGCGTTCACTGATACACAGGCACCTTTCTGCCAATCTCGTGTCTTCATTAAAATAATTTTGCTCAGAAATGAGCTCTCGTAACCTTGTTAGCACCATTTGTGAATTTTCTTTGAGAATGTAGTCATTTTTCTTGATTATTTTACTGCACCGTCTGCAAGTCTGTCATTCCGTAAGAGCGCTGAGGTTTACCGCTTTTATCAAATGTTTAGGAGTTTTTGTGTTTAAATGAAACGGACGATGTGACACAGTAGCCAGCTGATGTTGATGAAGCAAAGTGTGATGGTAGTGTAATGTTAAAAAGATATGATTTCAATAAAGAGGTTTGTGGAAATGAGATGCAGGAGCCTTTTGATTAGCAGGTATTTATTTGAACCTTCTTGACATAGTGACAGATTTGTTTGTCAGGATAGAATCTGCAGGTTAAATTTGATGAATGCCTTTCTGCCAATCTCGTGTCTTCATTCAAATAATTTTGCTCAGAAATGAGCTCTCGTAACCTTGTTAGCACCATTTGTGAATTTCCTTTGAGAATGTAGTCATTTTTCTTGATTATTTTACTGCACCGTCTGCAAGTCTGTCATTCCGTAAGAGCGCTGAGGTTTACCGCTTTTATCAAATGTTTAGGAGTTTTTGTGTTTAAATGAAACGGACGATGTGACACAGTAGCCAGCTGATGTTGATGAAGCAAAGTGTGATGGTAGTGTAATGTTAAAAAGATATGATTTCAATAAAGAGGTTTGTGGAAATGAGATGCAGGAGCCTTTTGATTAGCAGGTATTTATTTGAACCTTCTTGACATAGTGACAGATTTGTTTGTCAGGATAGAATCTGCAGGTTAAATTTGATGAATGAGTGACAGACGTGAGATTTAAACACAATAGGCCACTATCCGCTGTTTGGTTGTGCATTAAACGGCTTCGCTCGGCCCACAGTATTGCAGATGTTTATTTAAATGGAGGATCCGGTTGTGTCTCTTCAGTTTGAAGCACCTGCATCTTTTCATTCATAGTCTAGACCTGTTGGCGCCTGTGTAAATAATTTTCCAGAGAACACAGACTTCGTAAATCAAATGATGCATATGGGTAATGTCAATATCTTTCCTTTTTTGCCACTTTGAGAAACATAAACTGACACATAAACACACACAGTCATGTTTTCATTTTAGGTTAAAGATGAATTCATTTGATTCATTTTAATAGTTGTTACATAGGCTTTTGTAAATCATAAATAAATATGGATTTTACAAAAAAGCAGAAACATTGTCTCTATTGTGTGTGTGTGTGTGTGTGTGTGTGTGAGAGAGAGAGAAGCTTCACTCTTTTGTCTGTTTGTTTTTTAAATAAGATTATGCTGATACAATATTTAAGGTTTAGTGAGGTTATATATTTCCATCAATATTTTGCAAAAAAAAAAAATCAGTATTTGAGAAATGTATTATTTTAAATATTTAAGTAAATATATATTGTAATATTACCTTTATTTGACCAGAAAAAAAAGACTCGCTGAGATAAAAAATACGCATTTTTATTTCTGTTTTACAAAAAAAGCTTCAAAAATTTTCTCTATTTTGTAAGAATTGTTTGTTATATTTTATATATTGCTTCACTTATTCTTTTTAAGAAAGAAAATAAGATTATGCTGACATTATTATTTGATTATTTAAAATATAATAATAATGTCAGCCTTTTAATTACCTTTTCCATTAAAAGACCCAACGGTTTCTACTTTGCCCCACAAAAATCACAATAGATTTTAATTCAGAAAATGAAAACCTATTAAAGAAAAGATAAAAATGTCATTGTGAGTGAATTTCATTTTTATTGCATTTTTGAAAAATCTAGATCTGAATGCAAACATGAGCATTGTTGACATTGCATTAAAGAATAACAAACTTCGGTAATTACCATGGAGCTGTAGTTGTGGCATCTTAATATGGTTTTTGTATTATTATCAGAGTTGTATTATAAAACAGTGGGAGCAAAGGTTCAAGTTTTTTTGTTTGAACCTATATCGTTGGTTACCTACAGAGTAGGTTTGGTTACACAAGGCAGTTGTGTTTTGTCATCTGAATTCTCTGTGGGCGTATGACACATGCTGTCTGTTCATGACACTGCAGTCTTACATTAATGACACCTGGATCTGCTCGAAAACATGGCTCACAGACAGATGCTAATAATGTACAGATAGAAATATTGGGAAAATAGAAATGTGTGTGTGGATTTAATGTTTTTGACGACAGTTTTGAGAAGAGTTTTGAATGTATTCCAGTAGCCCCTCACTGTGGAACACAAGATCCAGGGGGCGTGGTTGGATCCACATCTAGGGGGTGGAGATTGGAAAACAGCTTTTAGCACACAGTGGAATGTTCTTCGGTTTGGGACATTGACCCGACTTGACTGTGTAGACACAGATAGTCAGCTTTAGTTTGTGCATATAGACTGTCAGAGGTAAAAAACAATATAAATACTGTTCAGTTTCTTGCACAGACCGGTCGTTTCATGTCTTTACACATCAATGTATCGTCACGAGCCGCAGGGTTTAATTTGGTTTTGTTTGTGTATGTTTTTTTTTACTCTCAAAGCCGTGATTCCCATTCACTTCCATTATATGACTGACAGACTGCAACGGTTTGAGTTAAAAACCTTCGTTTGTGTTCTACTGAAGAAACAAAGTCACCTACATCTTGGATGCCCTGGGGGTAAGCAGATAAACATCAAATTTTCATTTTTGGGTGAACTATCCCTTTAAGTCTCCTGAAGAAAATGGATGAAATTTGGCTTGGACCCTGACCTTTTTCTTATGTATGTGAAATATTCCCAAAATAATAAAAAGATGTACAAGAAACGTGAAGTTATTATTACTTTCATTGGAATAATGCATACATATCAAACTTATTTAACTTGAATGTAATATTTGTTTTCCTTCTAATGACATTTTCCATATCCACCCAAAAAAATCCTCGTGTAGACAAGACACAATTACAAAATAGATGGACAATATAGACTCCTTTAACATTGAGCAAAAAACAAACAAAAAAAATCAGGAATAATCAACATCCAGATTTAATCTCTCTAACACACTTTTAGCTGCATATACCATGTAACATTTTAAATATAGCCTCTTTTACTTTAAACAGTATATTTCACAAACACGCCAAGCTTTATTCCAATATACACTGGTCCACAATAAGCTTTTGACCTGTATCACCTGTTATAATATTCCTATATTTATTAGTATCTGTGTTTAAGAATATCAACGTCTCCTAGGAACATGCTGTCTTTTAACATATATTGTCTCAGAAGAATCACTTCCATAAGCTCTTACAAAATGTGTTACTTGCAGGGGTATGGCGTCAAATACAACAGCATACTCTTTTGGCTTAACCGCACTCTAAAAATGCTTAAAAACAACCCAATTTGGGTAATTTTGGCAACCCAGCGCTGGGTCAAATATGGACAAACCCAGCTGGTTTGTGTTGAATGTCTGACCCAACACGCTGGGTTGTTTGAAAATGACTATTGCTGGCTTAAAATGAACCAAAAATACATTGGAAATTAAAAAATACACACACATGAACAGAACTAGTAGAGGCAACAGTAATAAGCAAAAGATGAAAATGTATTAATAAGCGAAATCGCTCATGTACAAAAATATAAGACAAATTGAATACAGCGTAATTTTCAATATTACACTCGTTTATCAAGCATTTTAGAAATAAAAATATAACATTTAAAAGTAGCATGTTAATTCAAGTGTATTAAACCGTTCTCTGTTATCCTTTTTAACCTGAAAAGTACCGATTCTCGTGCCGGTGTGTCTCTGAAATCTGAGACGGCGAGGGGCAGCTGTTCAACACTCGGGTTTTCCCGGGAGTCTTCTCCCGCCACCTTCCCGTAATTTGAATTGCCCAAACCTCGCTATGTGAATAATCACGTCAATATATTATTCCAAGGTTGTCCAGTTGCCAGAATTGTATGAAACGCATCTTACTCACACAAGACACAGTATGATATTTTTATTTTCATTCCACCATTACAGCTCCAAGACAAGTCAAAGCATGATCAATTTCTTGATTTACTGATTACTTATATTAATCTGCATACGCTTTATGAAGTAACAAGATGAACTAATCAGCTGTAAAATTGCATATGCAAAACCACGGACTCTGGACTCTATACAGTAAAAATCAGCAGCAGCAAACGGACTTTATACAAGATATTCACTGTTATTGTCAGTGGTGTGCAGGCACGTGCAGAGGGGGCTGCGGTGGGTGCTTTGAGCACCAACCCCTTTTCACCTTGATGCCCAAAGTGCCCTTTTGTCAAGGCATATTTTTGTAATTAAACGCCCTTTTGTGAAGTCCTGCCCAATCTAACTATTAGTAAAATTAATGAATAATAATTTAGCCGTGAATAAAATAATCCACATGATGACCTTTCACCTGACGATGAGACAATCCCTCACATTAGTAATTTAGCATACTATCTGGATGCCTTCAATAAAGTCCGCAGCTGCCGGTGAGTGGAGTTCTCAGTGGAGCTGTGTGCTTGTTTTCTTATATTGTTAAATTATTATAATTTTACAAGAATGACGTGAAGAGAGCATGTACAGCTGTTGTTTATATTGGTGTGTGTGTGTAGCCTGTGGAAGTAACATAGCTGCAGCAAGGGGCTATAATATTTTTGTTCAATATTTTCCTAATGACAATTTTATGATTGGTTTATAAAGGCTACTACGAATACCTTTTTCTCATTTTTATCACCGAATAAGGCAGGAAATATATTTTATAGTTTCTATACTAAATGATATGTCAATCGATCAGTACTGCATTATTCATATAGTTTATTTATTTATTACCTGGAGATAACTTGAAAAACACAAATAAACCATATATTTTTGCAATCGTGTGTTTATTGTCTTCACGTTTCATCAGTTAAAACGTTTCTGCTTTTTATTCAGCTCAGCCACAGCTATAGCCGGATTTCCTGCAGGTCATAAGTTATTACTTCTATGAATCTGTTTTGGACTTTCTGCGCGAGAGCGCCCTCTGGCGTCGAGTATGAATGAAACATGCACTGCAT